GGATCATGCCGGACTACCCAATAGTTCATACGATACGCAACGTAAACGAACTAGCGGCGAATTGTGATCATGGAGTGTGGATTTGCGGTAAGCTAGAAATTCAGCCTACTCCTATAAATTATTAAAAGAGAACCTTTGGACGAACTTGCAAATAAATTATGAATTCTTTATTAAGAAAATCAAAATCTCGAGGCGTCAATCAATCCCGTCTGATGAGGGGAACGCCCACGCATTTGACTTCCGTTGTGAATCGTAGTGGCGTTATGAGTGCGTATGTACCCTACACAATGACTTGCGATAGCCAGCCGATGTTCAAACCAGCACTTTCATCTTCCCAGACGAGTCTGGTACCTATTATCCATCCCTGGATAGATGAAGGACTTAGTTGTCTTAGGCGGATACCGATCCCGGATTCGAGCCCGTGACCATGAGTGTGTGATAGTACGCCACTTGCCACTACACCACCTTCGCCCCTAAATATTCTTCGTCTATGAATAATTCTTCTCCATTTCAAGCCTTAAATGTCATCGAAATATTTATTAACGGTGAGGTTACTGAAAGTCTCTATTCTGTTGCACCAGCACCGTTACAATCGAAATAGGAATATTCGATTGCTGTGCTGGTGCAACAGAATAAGGCACTTTCAGTAAGAATAGTCGAATATAAAGAGACTCGTGATGTTGGAGAGCGATGTAGCAGAGAATATCAATGGTACACCCATTAGATACATTAAAAAATAAAGACGTAAGGAGACCGATGGTGGGCTTCGGGTTCTTCAAGATAACATTGGAAGAGCTCGGAGCTTTCGAGTGATTATATAAGCACTAGACGAGTTTTGACTTACAATTAGTGCGTCATTAACAAAACTACGAATGGTTTTCTTTTCTCGATTCCAATTTCTTGAACTCCAGCTGTTTCACTAAATTTGAAATGGCAATATTATTTTCCCAATATATATCAATATTACACTGAATAGTTCAATATTCATGAACAGAGATTGAAAAAAAGGTTTGACTTCGCGAGTTCTTTTAACTTCAGAAGTTGAAAAAAATATCAATAAATTGAGTGTATTATTCCTATAGCATATTTTTCAGGCCCCATACTTTATCCATCCCACACTTATCATGTGTTCCATTCATTTTGATATTTTAATACTACTAATCTTATTTTTAGGAACGGACACATTGTGGAAACTACCAGGTGATCCGAAAAAATTCTATTTCAATCCTGACGAAATAACTGCGTTCTGCTTCGAGGGAGATTGCCAACAGACGTTAAGCCATGGAACATATCGAGTCGATGACGAGGTGGTTTTACTGGTCCCCTTAATTGAGGTATCCGCGGACCCACCGTTTTTCAAATTCGAAGAATTTAGGGCCTTGTCAGATCGTTGAGTTATCGATGTCAACATGCCGGGGATAGCCCTAGAGTGATTCTCGCTCTTCTCTACCTGCCTCCATCACTTTCTACTCGTTTCTTATCGCTATATTCTGTCTATCCTATATCTCGATCCACCTATTACGGTGTTGACAGCGGCACTTTGGGCCTGAAGGTTCGTCAAGTTCAAAACTATTATAATTCCAACGCTTTTGCGTCGTCATGTTGGATATGGGTTAGTTCCATAGCCGTCGGCGCGTCAAAACTGTGTACTGCTGGTTTGTCATCCCAGAATACATCATCTTACATTCGCTGACCTTCCATACGCTAAAGATGGATGGTCCTGACACACCCAATTGAGGCCGCAATCACCTCGTTCCGAAGCCTCACTGAATTTTGTCACAAACAATATCAAACTGTTGACTGTTTTCATTCACCCCGCGCTATTTCTCAACCATGACCTCTTCAGTCCAGAAATAGAATATGTGCTACAAATACTTTTTCTTCGCAAAAGTAACTTTCTTGCAGCTATCACTCTTCTTCGATTTGATCATGGCCACCTGCCTGCCCGAGGATAAGTTCGTCTCCAGCCACTTGGCAGCTAATAAGTCAGATAGAAATCTCGACGTATTGAAGCAGTCACGGAAAAAAATTTGGGAACGTTTTCATCTGTGCAAGTGCAGAGCATGTGAGTGGAACTTCACATTAATGCTTGGCTCTCAGCTGACTCACAGCAGATTTGCGGTTCAGCTGACTACCACTCTAATCAGTTTCTAATTGCGAGTACTAATTGAGCTTACTTTAACTTCAATACATCCAAAACGCATACAGAAGCACTGCCATGCATTACCGGTGGCTTATGTCCTATGATTTACCCCTTATCTGTAACCTGAAGCCGCCTTTTTACCAAATCATGATCCTTCAATGAGCATGCACCACGGTGAAGATAACCCTGGGGTTCCTCCGTTAGTGTTATGAAAATGTAATCTTCCAGACTGCCTCCCACTCACTGACTACGAATACCTAGGCGATCTTCAGCATTCGAGCAACCTGCTTCCAAAGCGAGAAGTAATGTACGTTGTTTTCTATAGATTAAACGATCAGATATCAAGACCTTCCAGAGAAATTTTAGAGTCAATCTTCAAAATTCCGTTTTATCACGCATTTCGGCCATGGTTCTGAGTGATACCCAGGACTATTCAACGGCTCTGCTCAAAACCTCAGTGGCTATCAATATCAACTACCCCCACATGAAGAAGGACATACTAACCGTACTCGAATCGTGTTGGTAAATCAGATACGATCATATTAATGAGCGCATGACTGTAACGGTAAAGACGATGGATGGATCCTTTTCAGTGTGCGTTCGAAGCATTCCTCATTGCGCTCGTGCTCTGATGTTGACGGCCGAATATTTGGCCATACGCGCTCGTGGAAAAGGTGGACTACGGAGCGGTCCTGCAGCGAATCCAGCCTTCACTCATATTTTCGAGTCGATGAAAAAAGTGAGGAGTGTGACAAGTTGATTTCTTAGCCATGTTGCTATCTTGCAGGCTCGACCCTCAAATACAGGGTCGTTCAGGATCAGGACATTACCTCCATAATTTCAACGGCCATCCAAAGATAAGGCACATACAAAGCCACAAAATTAATCAGCCTAGAGCGACCAATTAATTGTACCATGTTGACCTCACTTTCTCCGACGACTCGGAAGGGTTACCATTGATGGAATATAGGCGAAAAACAGAGAAACCCACTCAAATAATCTTTTTTCTATAAGTACAGGGTGCGCCATAAATATGGTAACAAAGTAATTGCGGTACAGAAACCGCATTTTAAATCGATACAAGATGAACTCATGTGAAATATTTACTAAACATTACATCAACAAAACAAACACACGACCATTCAATATGTCCTCCTCCTTTACGAATTATGGCTCGAAGACGCTTCGGGTACGCATCTATGGCGGCACGCAGAGCTTCTTGAGGAATTCTACCCCAGGCTTTCTTCAATGATTCTTTGAGAGCAGCAATTGTGGCATGTTTTGAAGCGCAAGCCTCCCTCTCTAAAATACCCCATACGCAATAGTCCATCGAGTTACTGTCGGGGGAATTTGCTGGCCAATCGGAAGCAGCAATGAAGTCCGGTACATTTTTCGGCACCAGTCTTGCTTCCTCCTTCCTTTATGAGCTGGTGCTCCGTCTTGTTGAAGAGTCCAAACCGTATCCTTGAAGTGATCTTTGGTCCATGGTAGTACCTTCTCGAGAATGTCATTTATGTAGATATCCTGGTTGATTTTAGCTCCTTTTTCAACAAAAATAAGCGGTGTACGTCCGGTGGCGCATATCCCAGCTCAAACCATCACGGAATAGGCAAAATGGCTGTGACGAGGTGCGT